GCTAAACTGATCTTCTGTATATAAAGAGAATCGAAAATGAATCTTGATGTGAATGGAAAGGGAGAGGGAGTGGGAAAGGGGAGGGTTGCGGGTGGGAGGGACCTTATGGGGGGGTAATCCATGAGCTGTACTTTGGAAATTTATATTCATTAAAAAAAATAAAAAATTAAGTTAATTGAAAATAGAAAAAAAATTTAGAGTTTGTTAGGTAATTAAGAAGAGAATAACTACAAAATTTCTCAATAAAAATAAGAACAATAATGGAGTCCTTCCACAGACATTGTATGTTTATTGATTACTAATATCATATGCATGTGAACCATTTTTAGTACATTATCTTGTGTAGTCCAGTGTAACTGTGCTGTAGATGCAGTGTCACTCCAGACCAGCACAATCAGAATCACAACATGAATCATGTGTTAATGTGCTAGAAATGCAAATTCTTCATCCCACCCTGGAACTCCAGAAGCAGAAGTGTAGGGTTCAAAAATCAGCCATTGCCTGGTGCACCCCAGCTCTCTAGGGGATTCTTACACATTCCAAAGTCTGAGTGTCCCTGGGTATGATCCATCTTAAGGATATGAAATTCAAGAATAAAGGAACTTACTAGATCCTTTCCCTTCAAGTCACCTAGCTTGAATGTGGCAGATAGGGCATTTGGACTCATGTCCCTCTGATGCTAACACCTATGCTCTGAGCAAAGATAATGAACAGCTTCTCTCTGACATGTTATTCTTTCATATTTCTGGCTTTCTCAGATCTTTGGTTCATAAGCAAATAAGGGATTAGGGTGGAAAGTGATTTCACCCAGTGAGGGGAAGCAGAGAAAGAAAGTAAGAAAGCCTTCCTATCAGGGCCTAGACAGAAACAGCTGCAGAAATGCATTCACTTCCATGTAAACAGCTCACCAAGAGGGAGGTGTTCAGCAAGGCAAATGGGGTGAAAGCCCTAAAAAATACCCCAGTCTTTTCCTGCCGGCTTTATGAACCGCTTTGGCAGGGTAACAGCAGCACATTATATGTAATTGCCAGTTTACTCTACCTTGTCTCTCTTTTATTTTCACAAGGAATCCTTGTTATTCAGTGGAATTAGCAAAGGAATCCATTAAGTGCTGGCTACAAAGGCTGCACAGTATTTATCCCAGTAATAAAAAGTCTAATTTTGCAATAACATGGCAATCTTTGGGAAGCGCTAGCTGATGGAGTCCAAGTCTGGCAAAATTAGCTTCTTTTGGTGGTGCTTATTATTATGGTGCTTGTAAGCACGAGAGCTTGCATGCCAAGTAAGCATTTTTACAAAACAAAACAAATTCTCTTTCATAGACTCCTACAATGGGAGAAAAGATGGGGATGCTGGCATTGGACCCAGAGAGCAGAAACAGCAAGAGGGTGGGCTCTTACCATAGTCTGAGGCTAACTGTGTTTAGAGATTGTGATGTGTCCTTGGCAAATGTGTGGAGTTGTTTGCCACCTGGTCTTCTCCCTCCCTGCCTGAGCCGTTGGCAGGTGCCTGGCACCATTAACATGCCTATGATCTTTCAGCATCCTTTATGTCTCAGGGAACACCAACCTGCACTTGGCAATTCATAGACTATCAACGCTTAAAGGGACCTTAGGACTTATCTCCTACAACCCCCTATGTTACAAGAAACTAAGAAGTTATGTGACTTATTAGACACAGCACCAGACCTTTAACTCATGTCTCTTGGGTGCTTTTTGCCCCTTTATTTCCCCACAGCTTCATCAATGAATGTTGCTTTTCACATCACTGTCATTTCACAGTACAGAGTTTACAGGGGAGCCTTAGATCACATTTAAGTGGAACAACAATTCAAAATCCCTTCTTTCAGAAGTGGAAATCCCAAGGTATTTATTGATTAGACTAGCAGTTGCTTCTTTCTGAGTCTGAATGATGTTTTAAAAATCAAATTCCCAGTCTGAGGAAGATCAGCGGTGCTTCTCCTGAGTCTGTCAACTCTGGATGGAGGACAACTTATTTTTCTATTCTTCGTGCCTCAAGAGGCATTAAGGACAAATGAGCACGCCTTTGGTTCCTAAACAATGGCTTTGGCTGCTGGAGGAATTTAATAAGCTTGCCGCAAAGTCTAGTTCTCATTGTCAGAACATGAGGCTGATGTGATAAGCTGCATATATGATGAATACTCCAATTAACCCAGAGGAGGGAGGATCAATGGGAAGAAGTTGCATTTTATACATAGATGCCCGTTCAAACACAAACTCAAGTTGCTAACAGTGGGAGTGGGGTTCATAAAAAGTAGCCAGAACTTACCAGCTGCTGTCAAAACTGGAAAGAGCAAACATTGTGAAACACCTAACGTGGTAATGGAAATACAATAAAAATAAAAGTGATATCTATTTAAATTTGTATATTCTCACATATTCCTACTTTAGAACCAATGCTTAAAAAATAACCGTGGTTAACATTTCATATATACTTATTTAAGCAAATGGAGAGTTGATTCCCGTGACTTTAGCATGATTAAATTTTAGCCCATTTATACAAATTATATTGAAATTAGTCAGCCATAATTAACTTAGATTTTAGGTAGTAACCATCAAGGTGAAAGATTGACTACTGGATTATGTATGAAGGTACTTCAAAAAGTTCATAGAATGATGAAATTAAAAGCTAATTTTGTTTGTTGAATATTTTTAATTCATGCATAAGTTTTTCAAAATACACATTTCCATAAACTTTTTGAAAGATAACTGGTGCTCCTGTTTTCATGATAACTAGAAGTAATATAGAAGTTTTGCTTGAGAAAGCTTTTCTATGTGGGTTATGGCCATTAGTGGTGATTAATAATCATTAGTAAGTGAACACGTGTTTGAAATTCACAAATGTATTTATAACATCCAAGTTCAGTCTGCAGGACAATCCATTAATGCCTCTGATAAAGCACATTTCAGTTAAAGAGCACTTTAGTTAACTTAGTTCATAGATTTGCTTGTCTTATTCTTATGCTGTTGCCAACATCTCCCACAGTTTATGCCTTTAATCCTTTCCCTCCTGTTTTACCTTCCCTGATGCCTTCAGAGGAACATCATGGCCTTGAATAAAAGTTCTGAAATAAAAAGGACACATTGATTCTCTAAATTATATGCAGATCCCTGGCATATTGCCAAGCCCATGGGCTCTGTGTAAGTACTTATAATAGCTTGGTGGCTTGAAGACAAAAACCCAAGTGTTGTATTTTCAGGACATGCTTTTAGTCATCTCTTGGAAGCAATAGTTCAGGATGTGACATTTAATGAAAAAGGCACACAAAGGAACATGATGTATTAGTTTCGTGATAACCAGTCCCCTTCTAAAGCCATTTAATTCTCCCCCACTGACTGTGCACACATACAACCTGATGAGTATCTCAGCACCATGGCACCATAGGAACTTTATGTTACGTTTATTTCTACAATAGTATAATATATTTATATTATAAAATGCTGCATATAATAGTATATAATACTGCATATAATAGTATAATATATTTATATTATAAATATTATGTATTATAAATATATTATAAATTTATAATTATAAATATATTATCATATTATTTATTATAAATATATTATTTATATTATAAAAATATATATTATGCATATGTATTCCAAGGATCCTCTAACAGATTATGACACAGCAAGGTTTTAGCAACTCTATCTGGTAAACACTCATTAATAGCTTATTTACTTCTCTACTCTTCTTAATTGGACAGAATAAAAGTGTCCATTAGTCAGAAAGGAATGTAAGGTTAGGATATTTTACGAACAACTGATTCTGAAAAAGAAGAGATCCTTCCACTATGTGAGGTTCTTAGGCAATATTTAGGTATCTGTGATTTCCTTAGGGTTGGGAGAAATACAATTGTGGACTAACAGGTGTATTGGTAATCCCTTTTGAGACCTTGTTGTAAAGTAACCACAACAGAAAGCTGTTTGAGAGAGTGTAAAATTTTAAAGTCATTGTATTCTGCTGTTTCCCACATTCTTGTTCTGCAACAGCTGTGCTCCTGAACTGTTCATCCTGCCGCCTACATGGTGACTTACTCATGTGTAAAGGTTAAA